TAGTTTCATTTTTTTTGCATGTATCTGTCCAACTTTCCCAACACCATTTATTGAAGAGACTGTCTTGACTCCATTGTATGTTCTTGCCTCCTTTGTCAAATATTAATTGAGCGCACTGGTTTGGGTTGATTTCTGGGTTCTCTATGCTATTCCATTGGTCTATATGTCTGTTATTGTGCCAGTGCCAGGCAGTTTTGAGAAGAGTGGCTTTGTAATATAGCTTGATATCTGGTATTGAGATCCCTCCTACTTTGTTTTTCTCAGGATTGCTGCTATTCGGGGTCTTTTTTTGTTCCAGATGAATTTTTGGAGAGTTCGTTCTAGGTCTGTGAAATATGTCACTGGTATTTTAATGGGGAGTGCATTGAATGTATAGACTGCTTTGGGTAATGAGTACATTTTAAACATGTTGATTCTACCATTCCATGAACATGGTATGTTCTTCCAACTGTTTACGTCTTCCTCGATCTCTTTTTTCAGTGTCCTGTAGTATTCCAAGTACAGGTCTCTTACCTCCTCAAATTATTCCTAGATCTTAATTTTTTTGGTGCAATGGTAAATGGGATTGTTGCTTTAATCTCTCTTTCTGTAAGTTCACTATTGGTGTATAAAAATGCCATAGATTTCTGGGCATTAATTTTGTATCCTGCTACATTGCCGAATTCCTTTGTTAAGCCTAATAATTTTTTGATGGAGTCTTTAGGGTTTTTTATGTACAGTATCATGTCATCTGCAAATAATGACAGTTTTACTTATTCTTTTCTAATTTGGATACCTTTTATTTCTTCTTCTTGTCTAATCACTATGGCTAGCACTTCCAGTACTATGTTGGACAGGAGTGATGAAAGCGGGCATCCCTGTCTTGTTACTGTTCTTAGCAGATTGCAGACAGATCACGAGAATTCTCACTACATATTACACAGTGTTTTACAAAGTATCATACTTTAAAAAGATATTAGCTTATAAGAATATGTAATAACTCCAAAATGCAATGGGTATTTGATTTTAAAGCGTGCCTTTAACATTTATGTAGAACGTTTTTTGTACTCGTTCAAGAGAAATTTATCTGGCCACTGAGTAAAGCTAGCAATAAAACTACTGGTCTGCAATGTGTTAAGTGAAATGGTTTTAGTTTTTGCCCACTGAGTATGATGTTGGCTGTAGGTTTGTCATATAAGGCTTTTATTATGTTGAGGTATGATTCCCTCTATTCCCACTTTGTACAGGTTTTTTTTTTTTTATCAAGAAAGCATGTTGGATTTTGTCAAATGTTTTTTCTGCATCAATTGCTATAACTATGTGATTTGTATCTCTCAGTTTGTTTATGTGATGTATCACGTTTATTGATTTGTGGATATTGTATCATCCTTGCATGCCCGGGATAAATCCTACTTGGTCATGGTGTATGAGATTTCTGATGTAGTGCTGGATCCAATTTGCTAGAATTTTGTTGAGGATTTTGGCATCTTATTGTTCATGAGGGATATTCGCCTGTAATTCTTTTTTTTTGTTTTTTTTTTGTG